TCCTCAACCTTCAATCTCAGGAAAATGAAGTAATTTGTCTTCTCTTGGCTGCTGCTTCCCAACTGTGGGAAATGGTGCTACTTTTCCCAATCATTTGCTTTCACTGTCCTTATAAAAAGAGGATTTTAGATTTTTACTCATTGCCGTAATCCTGCCCTCTATGCAGAGTATATCACCCTATCTCATTGACAAAGTGGCACCCTGACTTGCTTTGACATTGGAATGTGAGCTGAAGTCACCATAGGCAACTCTCAGGCAAAATTTCCATCAGTCCTGCTTTCTTACTGTTTCCCTTTACACCACAAGAACTATGTGTCCTAAATAGAGACTCCTTCCACCTGGATCCTGGAATGAGAAACACACAACAAAACTGCAGAAACAGGTTGCCCTTGGATGCCATAGGAGAGAAATCAATGTTTGCTTTTGTTAGTCACTGCAATTTTTGTTGATGTTACTGCAATAAAGCCAAGTAGCAGAAACCATTACTTTCCCGATCTTTTTCTGAAAAACACTTCTCACCTCAGTGAATCCTGTGACATTTAGACATTCTTCCTTTCCTTCTATTGCTGTTATCAGTCAATACAGCAGGTAGCTGGTAATTATAATTTTCTATTCTTTTTCTGACAATCAACTCCAAAAATTATAAGCTTTAGGACCCTCCACACCCAGATCTTCCTCTAATGGGAACAAAAAGGAGCTATTCAATTTAACTTGGCCTTTTCACAAAGGAAGGAAATAAAGCCCTAAGAGGTTAATAAAATTTCTCCCAAGGCCATGCTATTCATAGGTGGCAAGGTCAATTCTAAAACTGAGGCCTTTTCATTTCCATTTCAGAGAACAATATACCATTTGCACCCAAAATGTAAAGTTGTTATTTAAGGTACTTGTAGTAGTTTTTAGGTGATAAAACTTCATTTTTTAACAGACTATATTTTCTAAAGTTTCCTTCTGTCACATAAATCTCTGCACCAGCAACCATGCGACTCTACTGTCATCTTGAACCACCTGAGACCAAAGACATTAGCTCCGTCAGAAATACTTTTAGAAAGTATTCATCCAAGACCTCTTAACACCACGAATTAACTAAAGATTAATGTGAGTTACTGTTTTTTTTCCTTTATAATTTTTAATTTTTTTCAATTATAGTTTATATTCAATATTACTTTGTATAATTTTCAGGTATACAGCATAGTGGTTGGACATATTTACAAAGTGATTTCCCCAATAATTCATATACCCATCTGGCACCATTCATAGTTATTACAATATTATTGACTATATTCTCCATGCTGTACTTTCCAATACCATGGCTTTTTTTCTAATTCCCAATTTGTACTTCTGAATGCCTTCAATTTTTCACCCAGTCCCCCAACACCCACTCCCTCTGGCAACTATCAGCCTGTCTCTGTATCTATGAGTCTGTTTCTGACTTGTTTGTTCATTTATATTGCTCTTTAGATGCTTCCGGTGGCTTACATTGCTCTAATCCTTTGTTAGTCTCAAGTCACTCAAATTATCTTCTAGTTTTGCCAATGTTCATCTTAAGTCCTTCAGAGCCAATGATCCATTACAATGTAGATGGTTCCTGGATTTAAAACACTTGGCTGAAAAAATATATTGGCATCAAAACAAGAAAGAAGAAATACTCCTCTTTTGACACCTGAATTACTGTCAGAAAAGAAAGTGGCTTATTGAACTTTTCATGTTAACTTAGAAATATTATTATCTTTACTGTTTGGACATGCAATTGCTTACTAACTGATTAGGACCTAAGGAAAGCAAACCAGTCACATAGTTTATTACTGTTGATTATGTCAACAGTTTATTACTGTTGATTATGTCAAAATTCATCAGAATTTTTTAAGGCAACAAAATGCAATTGAAATCAAATTATATTAGGTTCAGTAATTTAAAACTAAGATCAACTCTCAAAATGTGGCTTTGTTCCTATACTACCTGTGACCACTACAGTATTTTTAAAACCCTAACAATGTAAATATTCTGGAATTTTACAACTAGCATCATGTCTGACATCAACATTAAATAAATATTGAATAAATTAATTAATGAATTAATGATGGAATAGCTAAATTTTATGACATTGAAATTATAAATGTCCACATTTTTCAATGAAGATATTGAGGCACAATGAGTTAAAATAGCTTGTCTGTTATTACCCAGAAAATAAATGTTGGTATTAAACTTTAAAGTAAAATGACTTGACTATAAATTCACTTGACTAATTTCTGCAGCATACTATATAACATATAATGTTAGTTAAGTTTATGAAGATTAGTTAGATTTGGAAGGTAACATGAAATACTGGTTCTCTCTGTATGCATGTGTTGAAGTGATAGACTTGAGACACAAAACTTGCCTCATCAAATTAAGGAAGGTTAAAATCATAACAAGCATATTCTCCAAACACAATGCTTTGAAATTAAAAATCAACTGCAAAAAAGAAGCTGGAAAAACCACAAGTATATGGAGATTAAACAACATGCTACTAAATAACAACTGGCTCAATGAAGAAATAAAAGAAGAAATTAAAAAAACATAGTAAAAATGAGAAAGACAATATGACATATCAAAATTTTGGGGACATACATAAGAGTTAATATCCAATATAGATAAGGAACTCACACAACTCAAAAAAGTAAACAATCCATTTTAAAAGTGGGCAGAGGACCTGAGCAGACATTTCTTGAAAGAGAACATACAGATGGCCAATTAAGAAATAAATTAATCTATTGTGTATGATTTCTACTTGTCAACTACATGAAATCATGAGCCAAAGATATGACAAGAAAACTTGGTAGTTTAAGAGCAACTTCAACTCAATGCCCCCATCACCACCAAAACCTTTTAAATCACCTTTAAAATTTAAATATGCATCATACCTCAATTACCAGAAAACTATCATATCAGGATATTTTAAAAATTAACTGAGGTAAGGAAGAAAGTCCTATTATAATTTTGACTAACAATTAATAAACACATGGATCATATTTTATATATGCAACTTCATTTACTCGTCATAACAATTCTATCACATAGAATTAATACTATCTTATTTTGTGGATGACAATGTTGGCACATGTGATTAAGTAGTTGTCCATACAACATACAGCTAAACACAGAAGGGAGTTGGGATTCCAGCCAGGCTACTTGACTTCATCCCACATACACCACTAAACTATAACAAAGGCTTTCATACTTTTCGGACTGCAACTCAAAGACATAATTTACATAACCCCATAAACACCCACAGGTACAACCATAAAATATTTCTTGAAAAATACTTACATGTAATGCAATCTGATATTTTCTTTCTGATTCTTCTCCTGCCATTCTTTAATGTTTGCAACCCTCTAGATCAGGGGTTCTCAACCTGTGGGTCCGACCCCTTTGGGGGTCAAACGACCCTTTCACAGGGGTCGCCTAAGACCATCGGAAAACACATATATAATTATTGTTTTTGTGATTAATCACTATGCTTTAATTATGTTCAATTTGTAACAATGAAAATACATCCTGCATATCAGATATTTACATTACGATTCATAACGGTAGCAAAATTACAGTTATGAAGTAGCGTAGAAAATAATTTTATGGTTGGGGGTCACCACAACATGAGGAACTGTATTAAAGGGTCACGGCATTAGGAAGGTTGAGAACCACTGCTCTAGATTGATATGATAAATTACTAAGGGGTTTCATACACACTTCAGTGAGTGCTATAATTTCAAAAGTATGCTAATTAGTTAAGCTATTGAAAATCAATTAAATTTGGGGAATAAAATAACAGAGTGGAAAAAAACTCAAGCTCTTAAATCTGTCAAATTTAAGGTCAACCCTATCTTAAATATTTGTACAAACATAAAGTTAATTGACTTCCCTATGATTCATTTTTAATCAGTAATCTGATAATAATAACATAAATTGCAAGGATTGATTGTGATGATTAAATGATAATGATCTAATCCACATGAAATGATTATCACATAGTTAGGACATGGTAAAGACTCAACAAATTATCCTAGCATAGGATAATTTTTCTCAACTGAATACATTGATCACATATGAGTAAATCTCTCAGTAGCCGGTTTCATTGTAAATATAAAATTATCTGATATTCTATATCCATTTGCCACAAATTAAAAATAGTTTATGTAATTTTCCACACCTCGCATCTTTGCTAGTCTAGAATATATTGTACCCATTCATATTGTTATGATAATGGAGATAACACCACATACTTACAGAACCCAATATATCTTAGAGTATTTTCTTACACTTTAAGTAGCTATTCATTAGCTACAGGAACATTTCTTAAGCAATTTCTATGTTTGATATTTTAATTAGCTCAAAAGCTTGTTTACAGTACCTTTAAATAAAATTACATCTAATGTTAAATAAAATTTCACCTAGGAAGGAAATATCAAATTAAGATTAAAAAACTATAAAGACTGTTTACTAACTCTGCCCTTCCCACCACAAGATCTTTTTTCTTACTTCCAAAATTGAGACATGGCATTTATTTTAACTTCCTCCTTTTCCCATTTTTCAAAATCCACCTTGCCAAATAAACTAACTCTTACAGTACACATATCAGCTCCGATACATATGCCTAGACATGGGGAAACTAGAATCACACTAATTTACAGCAGTGGTTCTCAATCAAGACTTTGTTTTGTGAACACTACAAGACAGTTTTGAAATACTTTTGCCTGTCTTCCTTCCCCATGGATTGTGAAAGCCGCCCAGGTTATTTTAATGTGCAGTCAAGTTGGGAAACTACTGTCTTAGACCATTCCGTATGCTTTCCCAAGGCCTGGTAGACAGTGATTGGATCACAGTTCTGTGGATGAAGTTGCCAAACTGGCAACTGTAACTATCATTTCTTTGTTTCAGTAAAGAAAATCAACCCAGATTATCTTCCCTCAACCTTCCTCTTAACTCCAATAAAAATCCAGACAAAGGTATTTAAAAGCCAGATTTTCTGTAGAAGTCCTTTTTCTCCTTGAATTTGCAGACTATGGCTATGTAAACCGACTGCCTGGCAAAAGTAAAATTAAGCAAGTTTGGTTGTTCCAGAGAAGAAACTCCAGTCCAGGTACGTATTAGAAATGTAGATGTATTTTTACTTTGAAGTTTGAATTTTTGCTTGGGTTCTCAAGTTTTTATTCTCACATGTGATAAACTATATTGGAATATTATTCAGCCTTTAAAAAGAAAAAAAACATAGAGAAACCTGAAGAGCATTTTGCTAAGTAAAATTAAGCCGGGGGGTGGAAAGACAAATATTGCATGAAAAAAGAATCTAAAAAAAAAAAAGTCAAACTCATAGAAACAGAGGGTAGAAAAGTGGTTGCCAGAGGCTGTGGTTGGGGATATAGAGAGAAGTTGGTAAAAGGTACAAATCTCCCCAGTTATAATAAGTCTTGGGATCTACAGTGTAACACAGTGACTGTAATTGACAACACACTATTTTACAATAGAATTTTGTGAATAAACTTAAACATTCTCACCTAAGTGAATAAAACTTAAACATTCTCACCTAATCTTTAACATTTGTGAAAGAGTAAATCATGAAGAACAATCATACTGAATGGTTGTACAATTTACATCCAGTTTCATAATTTATTGACTCTTTTCTGCTGATATATGTTAATAGTCTCTAAAGCCAATCATGAGTAGAAGAGTCTAAAAGACATAAAAATAATATGCATTTCTGCTGTTTTTGAGGAGGGTATTTTATGTGTTTTTAAACTGTCTACAGAGAGAGCCTATTTAAAAAGCACTTTCAAGTGGGTGGCCTCATGACCATACCACTGTGGATCTGTGGACCTCTCTTTCTATGTCATTTTCAAAACTGGTACAGATGATAGACACCACATTGACCCCAAGGCAATCTGTCAGCATGATGGTGCTTGAATTTAGCTGCCCAGAGCACAAGTTATATACTGCTGAAAAATAAATCAAATTAAGGACAAAAACTCTTTTTCTTAATTTAGTCAATAATAGATAATAATTTGCTTTGGGGAATCATATGGGAAAAAAGATCAGAGTAATAGTACCTTAGTAGATTGATGTTAAAGGAAAGATACATGTTGCAATTATTTCCGCTTCAGATAAATCTACCAGGAATTACATTTTTTGTTTTTAAAAATAAATTGTATTAAGAAATTAGGCTTTATAAAAGTCCATTCACATTGGCTCTATCCAGATCATGAATTTATAGAGTCTATAAATTTTGACTAATTTTAACAAATATTATCAAAAGTACAACCAAATAAGTTATATCTCTCCAAATTAGTCACTACTGGAGGCCACAAGAATTGCCTACAAAGCTTTGCTTTTCAAATGGTATTTTAAAAAGTATCTGGGGTTACCTTTCATACAATCCTACCATTTTGTTATAAAATATCAAATATATAACAAAATTGCTGTGCATGTATGCTTCTTCCTTTCCCCAAAACAAACATATAAAGGGCTGTGGTTCTCTCTCTCTCTCTCTCTCTCTCTCTCTCTCTCTCTCTCTCTTGATCATATCATAGAACATGCACTAGAATCCTTTCTCAATTTTTATTTTAAATTAAGAAAAATTATGTTATCAATTTCATTAACCACTTGTAATCTCGTCTTTTCAGGAAAAATATTAAAAAATGAAAGAATTAACTTTCATCTTCAGCCTGTTGGCTCTTACTGCATGTTTCACGGTAAGTTCCCCCCAGTCCTAAATACTCTTCAATATACTTCTTAATTATAACTTCAAACGAAATTTTGATACCGATGATGTCCTCCTTCATTATATAACAATATCGTGTCAAGATGTCAATCAGTATAGATTTTTTCCTACTTTCTTTTTTAAAAAATATGTTTTTATTGATTTCAGAAAGAGGAAGGGAGAGGGAGAGAGATAGAAACATCAATGAAAGAGAACCATTGATCAGCTGCCCCCTTCACACATCCTACTGGTGATCGAGCCTGCAACCTGGGCATGTGCCCTGACTGGGATGCTCAAACACTGAGCCACACCAACCGGGCCCTACTTTCTTTTTTCTTTCTTTTTTTCATATGAATTTCTGGCCAGTAATTTTGAGTATGAAGGGATAGAAGACAGGTAGAATCTGGGAAAGCTATCTCTTTATCTAGGAACATCTCTTCCTTTTTTTTCAAAAGCACAACAATCAATCAGAAAAATATAACTGAAATTTACTAAATGTTGCAAGGCTATGGGAAAATAGAAAGTTCAAGATAAATTTTCTGGATGGAAGGACAACAAGATACATTAATTCACAGATCATTTTATAATCATTTTTGTTAAAAATATTTATAGCCCTGGCCAGTTTGGCTCAGCAGTAGAGCATCAACCAATGGACCAAAGTGTTGCAGGTTCGATTGGTCAAGGACACATGCCTGGGTTGCAGGCTCAATCCCCAGTGGAGGGCATGCAGGAGGCAACCAATCAATGATTCTCTCTCGTCATTGATATTTCTATCTCTCTCCCTCTCCCTTCCTCTCTGAGAAAAAGAAAATATATATTTTAAGAAAATATTTGTAAATTTTCTAAATTTAAAATTTTCTAAATTCTAAAATTTTCTAAATTTTAAAATTTTCTAAATTTTAAAATTTAAAAAGCCTTTATGATCTCCAAAAACACATTGGTTACAGTTAACATGTTTCTGTTCATTGATTGAGGAGTAAATTCCTACGTTATTGTTTACTCCACTCTACTTTTTCACTTAAGAAAAAATAAAAACAGGAAAGAAAATAAAACAGGTCATCTTCTCTAGAAATACATTCATTCAAATTTTTGAAAGGCACTTGGTAGACTCCAAAATATATAATGCAAAGAAGGAAGGAATAAGTTCCATAGCCAGAAACATCAATGGAATAATATGAACCTCAGAGAAATAACAATTACCATAGTATGTGCTGGTATTGGGATGACAGAGAGGAGAGAGAGTGTTCAAAGTATGTTTCACTTTTTTTAATTTTTATTGTTGAAAGTATTACAGATGTTACCTTTTTTCCCATTGACCCCTCTAGCCCACCTGCACTCCCTGCCTTAGACCTTCACCACACTATTGTCTGTGTCCATGGGTTATGCATGTATGCATACAAGTTCTTTGGTTGATCTCTTCTCACCCACCCACCCCCACCTTCCCTCTGAGATTCCACAGTCTGTTTCCTGCTTCTCTGTCTCTGGGTTTATTTTGTTCATTAGATTCCACATATAAGTGAGGTCATACTTTTAATAATTTCTGACAGTCTACTGTGTGCTGAGCCCAGTACTGGATGACACAAAAAGTACCAGTGTTGAATTCAAAATCAGGAGCTTCATAGATTAAGTCTTCATTTCATAGTAAATTCCTAAAAGAAACTATTTAGTAATTGTCTACATTACACAGTGAACAAATATACGTTAATAAGAACTTTCAAGAGTATAAGCAAATGAAGTAGAATTATTGTTCTAGTAAATTTAATGACATCTGTGTAAATTTAATCAGCATCTTGGACAAGTGATTCATTTTCACTATATTCTAATTTACAATATGATGTTAAAATGGAAAAATATTTCATTTCATGGGAATCTGTATTAAAAAAACATGTGATCTAATTATTCAGAATGTATATTTTCAGACCCTATCCAAGAACTGGAAAAAAAAAAATCTGGCTTCGGGCCTGAGAACCTATCTTCTAGAAGATTCTTATGCATGCTGACGTTTGAGATCATGCAAATACATTTTTGAAATTAACTTCTGATCCTATTGTGTTATAATTACATGAGGTATATAAAGAAAAATGTTAAGATAAATTGACCTGAAATCAAATGAAAAATTCTTAGGTCAATGATTATAATTAATCATCAAATTTATCATGTTAGAATAAACCACTTTTTTTGAAGCATTTCCCCATACATTGTGGCAAATATGACTCCTCTGACCACATTAATAAATCATGCTTCAGACTTCCTAAGAATGTTAATAGATTAGAAGATAAAGAAAGTTCCATAGGCAAGCAAAGTTGACAAAGTTAGATAAAATGTTATCTAACATTGTTGACTGGAGCAATCTTCAGAGACAATAAGAGAGAAAATGCTATCTTTGTTCCCTTTCCTACAACTCTGTTTCATACTGATAATAGGCAACTTCTAAGGAGACATATACAAAACATCATTCTTGAAGAGTCTTAAATTCTTACAAACTAATGGCACATTTCTATTCCAGAAGTCTGAACTGCAAGACTAATGCAAATTAAGACAAATTATTTTCTACTTTATAAAATTATAGAATCTGATTTATATAAGAAGCAGAGGATGTCCTAAAAAACATGAATTTAATACATGGATTTTTCTCACATGAGAATTAAACTTTGCAAAAACCCTGGAAGGCCAGACAGGTACTTGGGCTGCACATACATGTAGCACAGAGCAGCAAATGAGGTGAACCCTCAATAATGAAACAAGTTATTGAATTGGCTTCTGTGTAGTTGACTGTATGACTATCAAATAGGTGTCTGACTCTCACCCACTCATCATGCCATTTTATAAGATATCAGAAGTATGGTGTGGGGATGGATAATCAGCCAAGTGTAAGCTTCAAGACAAAGGGTCAATATTTGACAAGAGCTATCTACTAGGCACACAAGATAACTAAAGGCAGCACATTCTGTCCACTAAGCTGTTTGGAAAAGAGCAGTGAGGGTGGCAATTTCTAATCTTTAAGAACAAAAAGCAGAAAAAAGTGAAAGAGTATAAGAAAAAACAAGTGATAATCAGCATAAATGAATCAAACCCCTAGTCAGAATTGAACAATCTATAAGCAGTTTTCAAATAACATAGGCCAGCTGGCATTTCTAAAATTCCACAAATTCTAAAAGGCACACAAATCACCAGAGGATTGTGTAGAAATAGATACTAGACCTGAATGGGGCCCAGGAGTCTAGATTTTTAACCAGCTCTCAGATGGTGATGATGTTGATGATCTTGGTCAGTGACTCACATTTTGATTGCAAGGCCCTGGTCAGCAGAAGTCATAAAACCAAAATTAGAAAAAATGAGGACTTAAGTATTTGCTCCCCTCAAATACCTTCAAGGAAAGAGCCTTACACTCCTTACCTTGTGCAAGGAGGGAATTAGCAAACAATTCAAGTTAGGGTAATTTCTGCTTATCACTAGCTCATGTAATTCATTCACCAAGAAATATTTATTAAACACCTGCTGTCTACCATGTACTATTCGAGATGTTGGGTAAATGGCAGTGAGCAAAGTAGACAAAAACCTTACTAACATCACGGAGCTTATGTGTAATGCAGGAAAGGGAGGAGAGAACGGTGACTCTTAGGAGGGGTAAGAGGGGAATAGAACAATGTTGCAATTTTAGATAGGGCAGTGAGGTAGAAAATGACATTTAATTAGAGACTTGAAGGAGGTGAAAAAGCAAACTAGCCAATGAGAGAAAACAGGAAATGCCAAAATTAGCAGGCATATCTCTCATGAGGAACAAGTAGGCCTCAAACAGAGTCAGAAGGAAAGACAGGATCAGGAGGTGAGAGCAGAGGGATAGAGGAGAGTTAGATAGCATAGAGTCTCATAAGCCTTCCACTAGCTTGGGATTTTACTTTGAGTGATGTGCAAAGATACTAGTGCATGAAATCAGGTTTAGATATAGTCTCGTCCCACACACCCTCACTTCCCATATTCGGTGATGTTTGTCAGAAAAAGAAACTCTTAAATATCTGAACAGCACCCATAAATATTTATTTAATGCTGCCCATTGACAGTAGTATAATGGTCTTGTACAAAACCTCTCTGAGAATACAGGGTAGATTAGAAATAATAGCCAGGGATTAACAAACTTTTTCCCAAAAGGGTCAGGTACTAAATATTTTAGGCTTTGTGGGCCATAAAGTCTCTTAATCCAACCAATCAACTCAGCCTAAGAACAACAAAAGCAGCCACAATAAACAAATAAGTATGACTGTGTCCCAATAAAATTTTATTTACCAACCTAGGCAGGCTGCCTTGGGCCCACAGCTTTCGTTTGTTAACTCCTGAGCGACAGAGGCACATTTCGAGGCAATAGGGCATGTAAAAGCCTAATATATAATTTATAAAATAATCATAAAATTAGCCCAGCATTATTAAGAAGTTTACAAAAAGTAACTTTTAGTTTCATTGACAATCAAAATAGGCCAAATTCTATGCTAAATTCTTCGTGTCATTGTTGAGTCATTGCTGATCTTTGTAAAAAGAGATGAGGTTGTGTGTTGGGAATAGATTCCAGGATAAATAGCAAATTGGATATTAGGAAGTAGAAACAGGAAATCTAGTTCAGCCTTCCCCAATATCTGGCTAGGAATGGAAAGGGGTAACCTAGTGATGATAGTGCAGGGGTACACTAGGTGGTCAATGAGCTACTTTAGTATATGAGATGTAAATTGAAATTATATCGCCTGAGACCATGAAGCCAGAAATAAAAAAGAGGTTGAAGGGGAAAGTGATAATTAAGAGAAGGCCATAGGAAGGAAGTGATCGATCCATACTGAATACAGGTGAAGAAGTTGGATGTAAACAGGAAGGGAGGACAACTGTATATAGGTGGGTTTTATAGGTGTGTGGGCAGAAAAGCAAAGTCCTCCGTGTGATAGCCTCAATTTTGTGAAATAGAAGGCAAGATCATCTTTCTAGGGAGTGGGAGGGAAGAGAGCTGGAGAAGGCGTGTGGATGTTGAGAAGACAGACTTTTGGGGGAAATAGGGAAGAATGGATTAGCACTACTGAGGTACCAGATGAGGGGAGACACTGTGCATCTCTAGTGTTTCTGATATTTAGGGATTGGCGAGATTCTCTTGCAATGTTCACCAGCCTGCAAGTAGAAACAGAGAAGGTAAATTGTCTAGAGTTGATCTAAAAGTTTGATGTTGCCTAAGTCAATATGGAAGAAAGACACAGAGGCAAGAAGTTGAATGCTGCAAGAGTGACTGAAACTTCTGTTCAAACTGGTGTTTTGACTGCTTCTAGAATAGGATTTGTATTTTCCTGACACTGTTCATTGGCTTATAAAATTCATTTAATTTTATTTCCTCCCTCCCCATTTCTATTCTATTAATTAAGCCTCATTTTAAATGCTATTTTTTCTACTAGACAATTCTTAATCTCTCTTTTGTTAAAAATATACTTTCCCTTCAAATTGCTATTGCATATAGAATTTTTTGCACATTTGTCAATTATAATTTGAACTGCTGTCATATATGCAAACTGGCAATTGCTACCCTGGCAATCAGAGAGTATGAAATAGCTCAAATGTATATTGATTCCTTACTTTATTTACTATGACTAAGCACTATGCATAAATTATACATAATCTTATCAACCACTGTATAATATCAGAACTATTTCTAGAATTATTTCAGAAATGAGGAGACCATGGCAGAGAGAGTGTAAACACCTCAGCTAGCTTGCTACAGAGGAAGGATTGGTTCTAACAATCAGACTTCAGAGTCTTTGTCTTAAGTAACACATCACACTGCTTCTTACAGACTTTTTATTGTATTGTTTGGGTTGTGGTTTGGGGGTTTTTGGTTTCTACTAGATTTCAGACTTATATAAGCAGGGGCTCATATCTTAAATATGTTTTCCTTAGCCGCTAAAAGATGTGTTATATATAATAGTTTCTCAATAAACACAACTAACTAATGGTTCAGAGCCTGGAATCTCACTGATTTATTGGAATGGGGAGTAAGAAAGAACATCCCCAAGGAGTTCTACTGCCTTGTCGGGTATTTGGTCCTGTGCAAAGTGTCCACAGGAACATTTGGTCCATGCCAAAAGATTTTTGAAATTAAGTCCTGTCCAAACTATCCATGCTTAGAAAATGTCCCTGGGTCCAAACAGCCCAGAATGTTTATTTATACGTTTGGTTTACAGGATTAATACATAAAAAAGACTACAATGTTTTATTGGTTCAATAATTGTGTTATGGCTGCATTGCCAATAATGACCCTTCTCACCTCCGGAGCCTAGGTGATCATAGCACATGGGATGAGGTACATGGGTTGATATGGACCAAATGTCTCTGTGGACATCTTGGGCAAGACCAAATGTATGCTAGTCATTACACTAGAGCACTTACTTCCATTTGAACCAACTTCCAAAGGTAGCCATTTTCATTAGTTAATCAGGGTGATTTGATCCCCTCTAAAACCTTTAGGTCTGAAAGTAATGTTGTCTTTTGTTTTGTTTTGTTTTTGCATTTTATACAATGCTACTTTTTACTGAGTGCTAGAGTTCCAGAAGGGAGGAGAATATTCTACTCTTTCTTCTAACTTATTTTTTCAATGAAATATATGACTGTATGAGATTTTAAATTACATATACTAATGTTAGAACTTTAAGTGATCAAATTTAAAACCTTATTTTTGTGTTTCTGTTTGATTTTTATCACCACAGCCCAGTGACAGCCAGAGAGCTCCCAGGGGACCCTATGGACCTGTCCTGCGGCCACCACCCCGTCTGCCCCCGCCAAGATGGTTTCCACCAGGCCTTAATCCTCCCTATGGCCCAGGATTTATTCCACCACCCCATCCTCCTCCTTTTTTTCAGCCATCATGGAACATTCCTCCTCCTCCCTTTGGACCCCTTCCATCAAACCCTATTAGACAACCTCGACCTTTTCCAGTTTATCCAAATTCACCTTTTCAACCAAGGCCTTACCCTCCAGTACCTATTAGGAAGCCAAAACCCTTATATCCCGTTTTTCCATATCCTGATAAACCTCAACCTGCAATTAAAACAACTCCCAAATCTACAACCACAACCCCTACCACTACAGAACCTACCACCACTACAATTATCACCACTTCCACAGAACCCACCACAACAGCAACCATCACCACTTCTACAGAGCCCACCACTGCTCCCACGGTACCCACTACATTAGCAATAACCACCACTTCCATGGAACCCACTACAATAGAAACTACCACCACTTCCACAGAACCCACCACCCCAATATCAGATAACACTTCCACAGAACCCACCACAACAGCCTCCATCACTTCCACAGAACCTCCCACAACAGCAACCACCATCACTTCCACAGAACCCACAACCACACCAGACACCAGTTCCACAGAACCCACCACCCCAACATCAGATAACACTTCCACAGAACCCACCACAACAGCCTCCACCACTTCTACAGAACCCACAACCACACCAGATACCACTTCCACAGAGCCCACCACCACTACTTACACAGAAACCACTACAATAGCAACCAAAATTGCTCTCAGAGAAGCCATTTACACAACCACCACCACTTCCACAGAACCTCCCACAACAGCAACCACCGCCACTTCCACAGAACCTCCCACAACAGCAACCACCATCACTTCCACAGAATCTCCCACAACAGCAACCACCCTCACTTCCACAGAACCTCCCACAACAGCAACCACCCTCACTTCCACAGAACCCACAACCATCACAACCACCACCATTTCGACAGAATCTCCCACAACAATAGCCACCACCACTTCCACAGAACCAACTACTACAACCATCACCAGCAGCATTTCCACAGAACCAACCATCACCACAACTGAAGCCACCACCTCCTTAACACTACCTACCACTTCAACAGACCTCACTACCACAACATCAGCAGCAACCCCCTCAGCATCTACCACAACTGCTATTCCAATTACCACTAACTCTCCCTCTACCCCATTGCCCAGTACCACTATCCAAGTGACAACTCCCAATCACACTACATTAAGCACTAAAGCAGCTATCAAAGCAGCTATAAAGCGTTTTTTTGATAATTTTGCTTCCTATTTTGGTTGAAGATATGAGAAATGCTCTGAGCTGTTAGGAAAAATAAACTGCAGCTACTTCATTGGAATCAACCCTGATCTAACCAGCACACCAAAATAATAAAGTACTATTTGAGCAACAATAAGCACCAATTGCTGTCATAATAACTACCACTCTATCCTATATTTTATTTCCTACCAACAGCTGATATGTCATTTTCCCAGAATAAACCAGAAGCCCTTAATTAAAAAAAAAAGACATTTAATAAAGGATCTTCTTATATATAGTGAACAGGATTAGTGAACCAACAAAGGATGTTGAGGCATTTTGGGTCTAGCCACAGTGGAGCTGGTCGTGTGCTGAGACTTGATGGGGCAGAAGAATCAAATACTAACATCAGAGTCTGAATGAGAGTTGAGAGAGTGAACAAAAAGCCACCAGTGGGACCTGTTGCTGTGAAGGGATATAACTACTGCACCATAACACAGCCCCCACCATGGGGAGAGCAGGATAGTACCCATACCTCTCTCCTTCTCCTATTGCTTTCATCACTGGGATCCAATCAAAATCTCACAGCAAGGGAATCCATGTAATAAATTGTTATGGTCATCCTCCCAGGGTAGACAGCTAAGCAGAGAAGGCTGAATTGCTAGTAAAGAACAGGCTCAGTATCTTGAAGCCAAATAAGCAGGCAAGGAAACAATGAGTGTTCCTGGATTCCTGCACAAACAGGGGAAGAGATGGCAGCAAGATAAATTATAAAAGCATATCAATTTTTACTGCCTTTACCTGGAAATGCACATATCTGTGGGGAAACTAAGTAGTAAAAATATAATATAATTTCAAAGAAAAGAGAAATTAAATTGAGATGGAAATAATATATAAATATATCAAAATAAACACAAAATAAATCTATAATAATAAAAGCATAATATGCTAATTAGACTGGACATCCTTCTGGACAACCTTCCAGATGAAGGCGGAGCTGTGAGGGAAGCCCGGGTCCCGGGTGCCAGAGAGAAGCCTTGTAGTTCTTTTGTTTTCTCTTTTCTCTCTACTACCCTCCATCTTCCGTATCAGCTGACCCAGAGGGCATAGCGTACTCCTCCTCGGACACCGACACCACCATCAAGCACGGCCCTGATGGACCCTTTGATGCAGCCCTTCAACTCGCTGACGCTTCGGAAAGCCCATCGCCAGTGATGCCGCCCGCTAGCCAGACCAACAAGGACAACCAAACCACCGACTTGAGGACAGCTGAAATCCCTTGACTGAAGAGGCCAGCAACCTTCTACAGGAACAAGGCTCCTTGTGCAATCCGTCCACTATGTTTATAGCTATGCTTATTGTCATTGCTTGCCAGTCTTCTTCCGAGTCTTAAACAGCCCAATCTGAGAGGTGGCCACTGATTTGCATGCGCTATCATTTAAAAAATAAAAAAGGGGGAATTTGCCGGAAGCCGGTCCATCCTTGCTGCTTGACACAGTCGCTGCAGGAAAGAAACATCTGCACAGCATATGTTTCAAGGGACCTGGCATATATAGCATATTGTTCTTAATATGTTTGCTCTCCTTAAGCGCCATGTGTTTTAACCAAGGTCACCTCTCCGAGAAAGGTTGTTTCCCCAGGTAGGGATTTTTCCCTGAGGTTAGGGAGGGGATACAACCCCTTAACTAAGTGCCAGGCGGGTAGTTAAGCTACATAATCTTTACTCCCTGGAATGGAGATAAGAAACGCCCTAACCTTTGTAATAGAAATTGACAGGATTAAAATCGGCTGGTATAAATATAGATGTAACAAGACAATAAACATCAGATCCTGATCAGTTCCTAACCAGAACTCCGACCAGAACTTTGGCTGGAGATCCTGGCTAGAGGTCCTGACTAGGCTGCTGATCAACTGAAGGCTGTTGGGGTTGGACCCCAACAGGCAGGAAGGAAGGCCTACCCTTGCATGAATTTCGTGCATCAGGCCTCTAGTATATATTAAAAACCTTAAATGTGTTCTCTTAAATAGATCAGCCTATATTTGTAGGCTTGCAAATATAAAACACAAATAGTATATCTTAATAAATTGACCACTTTATCTCCCTCAAAATATTTCTCAAATCATACAATCATTTTGTATTAATGATGGCATCATTGATTCATTTATTTCTGGATTGAAAAGTCCATTCTATCTATTCTAGCAAATTGAAACATCTGAATGAGACATAAAGCAGCATTTTATTTATTTTATTAAAGTAGAATTAAAATAAAATTTTGTTATAGCAGAAAATTACTTTTCAGAATGCAACCAGCAAATATGGTTACAGTCTAACTTGTATGTAATAAACCTAATAAAGCCAGTCAGGTATGTTGCCGTCACTTCAAATTTTTGTCTCTGACTCTTGTTCTTTGATTCTTTTACACAAAAAGATAACACTAATTCTTTGTAGCATGTATGAAAAGACAAAGTTATATTTATTTGTATCTATGTGCATTTGTCCTTTTAAGAACAACTTTGAACTCCTACTCTAGGGCACTACATACCAGATTTTCCCAATGTCCTTATCAGGTGTCATCACCATAATCTGGTTTATAAACATCAATGCTGCTTATGCATTACAAATAAACTCACACCCCACTAATTTTCCAGCATGGGGGCTATCAGAGTTTCTGCCATCATATTGGACTTTCCCTGGGTAACATACCATAATAACATTGCAATCAAAGTCTGTGGTTTGATTCCATAGATGCCATCTTCAAAAGTGCCAAGGAGTTTATAAATGACTGTAGCATTACCTTATTGATGACAAATATCTCTCAAATCACCAAATGTTTTGGTGAAACTTGGGATATTGTAGCTGCTCCTGTGATTTAGCTGCTCAATACCACACTATATAGGCATGAACCAAAAATCTGGACCTACTTAGCCAACTAACAGAATCAAGCTATATAGCTGCCAAAAACAGACGATAGGCCTTCTATACCAGCGCTTTTGCAGTCTGCTCTGCTCTCATAGATTGCCAAGATGTATCGATGCTGAATAAAATCATGAGATATTTCAGGTCCTAGGAATTATAGACTTCACTTTGACCTGATTGGTAAACCTCATGGTCTTTTTATGTTATGTGACAATAAGTATATAAAGGGTTCCCACCTAAATGCTTAGGATGATAGGGACTTGGATAACTGAGCCAGGTATCTTTCTGTCCCTAAATACTCTGCAGTAAATGCCATCCAAATTACAAATTTGGGCAGCTTTGTTCCTAAAGATGTGCCACACAATGTGCCAGTTGGAAATTGGAGCAAATCCACTCATGTGTCACAATTCCAAGTACCTTTCAGGGATGAGGGTCTTATTCCTCAGCTTTGGAAATTATAAATTGGAAAAAGTGATCTTGAATGTCTTCATGGTAATAGAACAAGAGTTCAATGCCACTATGCAAATTTTGGGAAGACCGCAAGTCAGAAGTTAATAGCTTAGTCTTTGTTGTGCTCCAAACTTCTCAGGGCCTGGATACACTGACTGCCCAGCAAGGAGAAGCCTGTGCAATCATCAGTGAAGAATGTTGCTTCTATGTAAACCAAATGGGACATTGAGTATCTAACCTAAGTCTATTAAAAGGGAGGATTAATATCTTCCACCAAATAAATAAAGCAGAGACACTGTATTGGACTGGCCTATTTCTAGAAATCAGAGACTGATTTAATGGGGTATGGGAAAATGTGATCCAGTTCGTTCTCTTCTGTTTGTTTGTCCTCGTTATAATTTTTTTCTCTCTCTTTGTAGATATTTTACGACTCAGATTTTAACACATTTTCTCTCTCTCTGAAGCCTCCAGCCCATCTTTTTATAGGTGAAACTTCCAGGGAACTTTTAGAGTTCAGGATAGGCCACCCCAAAATATCCCACAATGATATATTGATTACTTTGAATTAAAGTTACTTGATATGCATCCGGTGCCAGAAGGGCACCTGGACATACCTTGTCTTTTTTAATGCAGGAAATAAATCTCCAATGTGAAAGATGTCCTCCCCACTCCTGAAACACACCCTTATTATTAGAGTTAAACAACTCAGAACTGAAAATTCATTTTAATCAAATCTCTTTTTTATGCTTTGTTTTTTTTTTAATTTCAGAGAGGAAGAAAAAGGGAGGAAGATAGAAACATGAATGATGAGAGAGAATTATTGATCTTCTACCTTCTGCAGGTCCCCTACTGGAGATAGAGCCCGAAACCATGACCTCCTTGTTCATAGGTCAATGCTCAACCACTAAACCACATCAGCTAGGTTTAATCAAGTCTTATTGCCTCTTTTCTGACTTGCTATATGTTTAAATTCTTCATTAATGAAAACCAGATCTTGCTTAGACCCCTTTCTAATGAGCATTAATATTCTTTGTCCTGTAAATTTATCACAAATGTATTGTTTGTCAAAGAGAATAAAGGTGCCTGGTTCTCTCATTTTTTTGAGCCTCATTTTGTGATCTGAGCATCTTACTGTGATTCTTCCATCAACATATATTAAGTTGGTTTCTCTCCTGTTAATTTAGACTTGAGTCAATTATATTCTTTTATTACTAATCCAGCTATAAGAACTAAAGTAGGGGTGTGGAGGATTCTCCCCCTCCTTGACATTGGGTACTGAATCAAAGCATATCTGCATCTTATAAAATAGAACCCCATTCTTAGAGGTCATGCACTCTTAGCTGGTTTCAAAAAGTCTTTAGTATGCCATTCCATAGTCCTATTAGGTTATCTGCTTTTATGCAAAGGAGTATGTAGTAAGAAGAATAAATTCAGCATGCATGAGTTCATTCCACACTCTTTTGCTGGGAAATGAGGGTTTTTTTCTGTTTCTTTTTTCTTTTATTTCAATTTTCTTTTGTATTAGTTTCAGGTGTACAGCTTAGTGGTTAGATAATCATATACTTTACATAGTGTTCCCCTAAATATTTCTAGTACCCCAACTGGCACCATACATAGTTGGGGTACTACTGGCACCATAGGAAATTGAGTTTCTTGATCTGAAAGATATGCTAGAACACCACGCGTGAATACAGAATCCTGTAAGTCCATAGTTTGGGGCTACAGCAAAAGTATCATGGATAGAAAGGCAAATTCAGATCCAGCGCAGGCAATCTCTTTCTCCTCTATTA